CTTCTCATCCCCCCCCCCTCCCCCATCCCCGTCCTCCCCCTCCCCTCCCCTTTCCCCTCAGACTCTTCCTCTTCTCCCGGAAGCAGGAGGAAAGCAAAAGCACGAGGAGGCAGCCACCCTAAAGCCACGGACCTTGACAGAGTCGCTCTTCTTGTCGCCAGCGTCACCCATCCTTGAAAGCCACCGGAGGCCCGGCCGGAGCTCTGGGCCGGCATCAGCCGCGCGCCCTATGCGCGCGCACCCGACGCAGTGTGCAAGTCATCCGCCTGAGCCACAGTGGCTGGACCGCCGCCACCTGCCCGCTTTTGCCCACGGATCTTGGGGTCCTCCTCCGCTCACGTCCCCACCTCGACCTGAACCTCCTCTTCCTCCTCCTCCTCCTCCTCCTCCTCCTCCTCCTCCTCCTCCTCAAATCATCGGACTTGCAACCACCGTCGTCGTGTCCACCATCGCAGCAGCCACCACCATCACCACCGTAACCACCACCATCACTACCGCAATCACCACCATTCACCCTCCTGACTACCATCACCTCCTCGCCTCCTCGCTCTCACAAGCCCCTCCCTTGAAACGCCGGCCCGCCCGGGGGGCCCCCCCGCCCCCCGAATAACCTTCCTGCTGCCCTCCCAAACGATCGTCGTCCCGCCCCGCCCGCCTGTCCCAGGGCTGGCTCTCCTCTGCATGGCGCTGCGCTGCGCAGGCAGCCTGCGCGGGCTGCAGCCGCCTGAGCACCACAGATGATCTGCTTGTCTTGAGGCGGCCCACTTCCCTCTGGGCCTCGTCGAGCGCTTCAGCACCGCCAGGATGGGTCTGCCTGCTTGTCTTGAAGCGGGTCATTTCCTTCTGGGCCTCGCCGAGCATTATGACCTCTGCCCTGGGCGCGCTTCACTTGCCCCCCGTGGCGAGCTTACCCCCATCCCCACAAGAGGGCGGCAGACCGCGTGTCCCCAATTGCCATCCTTCGCGTCGGCCCTCCTTGCCCCTTCCGCCACCCGGTCGGCCTCACTCTCCCCCGAATCGATCTATCAACATATGTATATTTACATATATCTCTATATCGATCTAACAGTAGATATCTATTTATGCATCGATGCAACTATACACGTATATGTATAATTATGTATGTATACACATACATGTAGATTTGCTCATGAACATGTAGACAATCCTATAGATGCGTTTTTCGATACAGAAATAGTGACATATATATAATACAGTGATACATATATATATATGTATATATGTATATGCCTTAGCAGCTCTATACCGCGGCCAAGATGGAAGCACTGAGACCGGCAGACAGACGATCCTTGTTTCATCTTTTCTGTGGCGGAAACTCGCCGCCGGTGCTTAAAGGCAAGTGCGCCGTGGGCCCAACAGAACGAGGCCGACCGCTGATCGGCAAGCCTCGAGGGACCCAAGGGGGCACGACACTTCCTGGGAGGGTGGGCTGGGAGCACAAGCTCTCGAGCTTAAATGGATACGGAAAGGTTTGAACGTCGTGTGAAGCCCCGAGCCCTTCAACGATTAAACCTGCGGCCGCTCTCTGACGCTGCATTGAATTTCACAGCGAAACAATATACATGCCTTAGCAGCTCTATACCGTGGCCAAGATGGAAGCACTGAGACCGGCAGACAGACGATCCTTTTTTTCATCTTTTCTGTGGCGGAAGCTCGCCGCCGGTGCTTAAAGGCAAGTGGGCCGTGGGCCCAGCAGAACGAGGCCGACCGCTGATCGGCAAGCCTCGAGGGGCCCAAGGGGGCACGACACTTCCGCACTTGTCCAAAGTTTGGCATCTCAGGGTGGGTGGGCAGGGTATTGTCCCACGGGCGGTCACAAAACTCATCGTAACCACACGCAAGCAGATTTGTGAATGTCTAAAGCAGCCCGAGCATTCGAAAAAGCGCGGGCCAAATGGGAGCACAGCTCAACGGGATATTTTTCAGCATTCTTTGTGAGCCAGCCTCGCGGACCGTCAAAGCCAGACAAGGTTAGATGAGGCAGGCCAGTACAGCAGCATTTTCTTCCAGTGCAAACCCTATGGATATCGGTCAGATCGATGTGGCAGCCCAAGAAACGCATGGGCTTCTTCCATCTTTCGCCAAACATGCAGTAGCAGGTGTCGATGCAGGAGGCCGATTTTCACGATTTTGCTTTGAGGAACCGAGGGAACAACCAGATCCTTGATGAGGATAGATTTTCCAAGGTGACTGGACGTTGCTGGTGCTTGAGCTGCTCCATGATGCTGATGCTCAGCCGGGCCAGCTCGTTCCCAACTCGAACGGCCTCCAGATCGGCGGGATGACGCAGCTCAGGAAGGCCGAGCAAGTGATGGTCGCTGCGCAGCCGCGATGGGGGGCCCGGCCGCGGCCGCTCCAGGTCACGCATCGGCCCGCGGTCGCGAGCGCGACTCCAGGTGCTGCACGGCGCCCCCAGGTGCGCGCCCCAGATGCGCCCGGCGGCGATCCAGCCGCGGATGAGCCGCTGGTTGCTCCTGAGCGCCAGGTCCCAGCTCGGGCCCTGCAGCGCGCCCCACTCCAGAACCAGGTAGCCGAGCTTCCTGAGCTCGAAGGCGAGCCGGCCACAGCCGCTGAAGATCTCTAGAAAGACCTGCGGCTGCTGCCACGACCCGCGGCGGGCGGAAACGAGGCGCTCGAAGGCCGCCCGCGGAGTGACCTCGGGCGGGCCGGCGCCCCCATTGCTTGCGCCAGCACGTGCCGTGGGAGGCGACGAAGCTGACTCGGCCTCGGCCCTCCCTGTGGCACCTCTGCACGGCGGCGCCGCTCCTCCAGCGCCCGCGCAGCCTCATCTCCGTTAGCGTGATGGTCCCGATCGCCTGGTCGAAGTACAGGCCGCTGTGCCTCAGCACGTACAGCTTGGGCTTCAGCGCCTCGAGGTCGGCCTCTGACTGGCCTGTCGGAACCTCTGAATGGAGTCGGCCTGGCTGAAAGTGAACGCGCGCTGCTCTGGAGGCGTGCTTAGCCTCCCTCACGCCAGCACGGGGTCGAGGAGCAGCTTGAAGTCCTCGCTGGGCCCGAAGTGGCAGTGGAAGCTCAGTACCACCAGCGCGGCCGTTGCCCAGTGCCCGTCCAGCGCCACCTGCTCGGCTAGCAGTGCCTCCGCCGTCCGCGGCAGGGGCAGGCGGGTGCGCCTGGGCGCGAGACGGCGCCACCCGTGGAGAATCTGCTTTGCCTGCGGGAGGCGGCGGCTCCCCGACTTGCCGAAATCGTGGATGTGGAACTTCGCCTCGGCCCCCAGGTGCGACCCGATGTGCGTATGCTCGCCGTTCAGGTACTCCTCGGCCACCCCGAGCGCGTGCCAGGCGCCGAGGAGGTCCTCAAACGGCGCCCCCTGGGCTCGGCCCTCCCGCCGCTGAGTCGCCTCGGGCACGCCTGACAGACGGCGCCACTCGAGGAAACGGCTCCAGACCAGCTCGTACTTGGCGAGGGTCAGCGGCGGCACCGACCTCTGCTGCAGCCGGGCCCGGCCCACTGGGGGCGCGGCCCGAGTGACCCCCAGCCGCTGCCGCTGCTCGGGGTGCACTCGGCGAGCGCCCGCCTGGGGCGGCGGCCATGCCGACGTCGACAGGGCGGCCTGCCTGCAGCGTGCGGGCCGTGGGCCGTCGCCGCCTGGCTTCCCTCGCCGGGCGCGCGCCCTGGGCGCCGCCGTCGTCGCCTTGCGGCAAGACCGCCACCGGCGGGCTCGTCGGCGTCCAGCTCGCGGAGCTCCTCGACAGCGCTCCGACAGTCACGGCGGTGGCTGACCTCGGCTCCGCCCCGAGCCGGCCAGCGGCCCCCTCGGCACCGTCGGCGCCGCAGACGAAGGGGAGGCGTGCCGATGGGCACGCGCCGCCTCGATGGAGCGTCAGCAAGATTGCGCTCCGACGGCAGCCAGCGCAGCGTCGGCACGAGCGCGCCAACGAAACACCACGCCGCCCATTGTCGGGCGACCCGCATCAGCCCTCGTGAGGAAGAGCGCCCCTGGGTTAGAGCGAGCCAAGACCGACGAGAGGCTGTCCGACAAGAAGAGCACACGCTTCCCGAACATCCGGCTGTCTCTTAGGGCGTGTCAAACGGCGCGTACGAGGGCCCGACCTTCAAGAACCACGATGTGCTCGGACCGGCCCCAGCCCCCGCTCGAGACGACCTGCCGCCCCCCGTCGAGCACCGCCGCCGGCGCGTCCTGGACCGGGTTGAGCCTGCAGGGGCCCGCGGAAGGTTCCCCAGGCAGCCCCTCGGCCGCGTCTGCCCCTCGGCCCCTGGCGGGCCTCGGAACCTCCAGCGATCGTTCTCCCGGCCCAGAGCCCGCGCCCAGTCGATGTCCACCTCCCGCTGCACGACCCAGCGCCCCTGCTCACTTGCGACGGTAGCATGCACCCGCGTCTCCCACTCGGCCCGCAGATTGGCCCACAAGAGGGGCAGTAAACCTACAGCCCAGCGAAGCTCCCGGCGAACTCCGTCCGACAGCGGTCGAGCAGCGTCTCTGTACTTAGTGGCGAAACGATGCACCGCATCGAAGATGGGCAAAAAAGGCATTCGAGCGAGCCCCCCAAAAGTGAAATGACCTACAATCCGACTGATCTGCCTACCTGTGGCTACTCCACTGTCGAGCAGGGCCAACGCCCCGATCCTAAGACGCCAGAGCCTTCGGGCCCGCGGCCGCAGCACGCCCCGAGAGCCCTCGAATTCCCAGCCAAGACTCTCGCAAGTCAAAGAGGCCCCCAGGGGCTCATGAAGAGGCAGGCCCGCCTCGAACAGCGATTCCGTCGCGCGCGCGAGGGGCTCATTGGCCCGCTCGGCGGAGGTGGCGAAGCCTAAAAATGTTCAACATATTCAGCGTGCATCCCGAGGCTTAGCGGAGGAGGGGCCCGTCCGTCGACGAGCCGATCGTCATCGCCGAGCCCTGCCCGCTCGCGCAGAATAGTCTCGTTCACCCGTTGGCAGAAAGCTAAAGCGTGCGACCAGCCCGTGGGAAGGACAGCGAATCTGGGCCTCACCCAATCACGCGGCCCCAAAGCCTGGCCCTGGAGTTCGGAGATCCCCAGGTCTCCAGCACGGACGCGAGGGAGGGAGAAAAAAGGACGGAGGGCAGAAGGGAGACCCATGTGGTAGAACGCGCCACAGATATCTACGCCTGAC